CAGCAGCTGCCCAGCAAACAACCCCAGGGGTCCCAAGTTCAGGATCCTGCAGAGGGCTCAGGGCTCTCCTGGCACACACAGCTCCAACTGGAGCTGGCTGTCAGTTCCCAGCCTCTCCCCAGGACCTTTGCTGTGTTACCCTCCACTGTCACTTCCAGATACATCAGCCATGAATAAAAGATGCTGCAGCCAAGGTCAGGGGTGGGGTAAGGTTGGAGCTGGAGCAGTCCCACATCACTTGGCAGCACTCGACCTCCAAATCCCAAATCCCACCCCAGATCATCCATTCCACCCACGGGCTGAGCCCTGCAGGAGGGAAGCTCTGTTTGCACCTCTGGGAGCATTAGGTAACTCTGAAAGCTGCCCTCATTACCCAGGAAACCCCAATTAATCATCCCTGAGGGCAGGGGCAGTGTGTGGGGCAGGACCCACTGTGGGCTCTGCAGCAACCCCGAGGTGGGAAATGCAGCACTCGGGGGACACTCTCATGGGGCTGGGGGGAGGTTTTCTTCTTTAAGATGTACAAGCTGTGCTCAGGACTGTAAAACTCCACCTCGGCTTGGGGAAATTATTCAGAAATGAATGGATTGCCCAGAGAAGCTGTGGCTGCCCCTGGATCCCTGGAAGTGTCCAAGGCCAGGTTGGAGCAACCTGGGCTGGTGGAAGGTGTCCCTGCCCATGGCAGGGGTGGCACTGGATGGGCTTTGAAGTCCCTTCCAACCCAAACCCTCCTGGGAACCGCTAAAATAGGAAGTGTCCAAGTGACCTGGGGGTCATTCCTTGGGATTTGTGCCTTTCTGACTGAGCTGTCAGGACAACTGCACCAAAGGAGAGAAAAAAGGAGCTGCTGAAGCTTTAGCTGTAAGTTTGCACCCAGCAACGAGCCACCTTTGCCTGGGACCTGCTGCAGGACTCTCTTTTCCTCTCCATGTATTTCCCTGGCAGAGGAATTCCAAGAGAGGGAAGGCAGGGGAGTTTCCCAAGCGTGATCCTCCACTGATGATTTTGGATTCTATTTAAGTAAAGCCATCCCAGGCAGCACCAGGAAGTATCTCCTCCAGCAGTGCAGTCAGTTTTCTTAGGAAGCTCCTGATAGCCAAGGGAAAAGTATAAATTCTACCCTGTTTTCACAGAGTCACAGAATCCCACAATGGTTTGGGGTGGAAGGGACCTTAAAGATCACCTCATTCCAACCCCCTGCCCTGGGGGTGATCTGTTGAAGCTCAAGGAAAGATCTTCAGACTTTTCTCTCATCCAGCTGTAATTATAACAGGAGTTATAATGAAATTATTGAAACATGTAGAGAGGGGTTATGAAATGGAGCTTCTCCTGTTTCCCTTCTGAACCTTCAATAATTTATGGATATTCAGAAGTTTAGGATGTCACAGGAAGGAGTTTGTCAGGGATTGCTTTTAAGAGTGGGACCAAAACAACCCAATAAAATCCCTGAGTCACAAAAGCTGTGCAGGATGGAGGGATTCTGAGAGAGCCCAGCACCTCTGCCCGGCCTCAAATCAGAAGGAACCATGAGTGACTGACAGCAAACCCCAGTCAAGAGGGGGAAAAGTCTCCCTGCATCCTGATCCCGTGTCTCCTTTGCTGACTCTGGGGCTGTCAGTCACTCCCAGCCCTGTTCAGCAGGAAGGAGGTTCTGTCTCCCTTTGCTGCTCCTTCCACACGAGGTATTTAAATGTTCTCATCTTGTACTCAACAGAAATGTATAATAAACCTCCCAATTACCTCCCACCCTGTGAAATGTCAAACCAATCAAAGGGCTGAAGGGGGAAATTAAAGCCTATTTTCAGAAGAGCAACTCGCTGATGTGTCACTGACCTTCAAGAGAAGAGCACGGGAGCACAACTGCTGCAGTCCCGGGTTCCAGCCCTCAAGAGGAATTCAGGAATGTGGGATCCATGACAAAAATTACTCTGAGTTAATGTAATCAGATGTAATCGAGGTATTACCTAAAACTGCCCCATCTGGTGGGTTCTGGGTTCAGTATCAGCTCAGAGATCTTGATGAGCTGCAAGATCATTTTGTGTGGGAGGAGCAGAAACCAGACTGGATCCAGACTGGAAATCCATCTGCTTCCTCAGCTCCTGACAAAGAGAGGCCATGGGAGGCCTGAGAGATTACCTGGGAGGGACCTGAAAGCTCATCCCATCCCACCCCCTGCCATGGGCAGGGACACCTTCCACCATTCCAGGTTGCTCCAGCCTGGCCTTGGACACTTCCAGGGATCCAGGGGCAGCCACAGCTTCTCCGGGAACTCTATTCCAGGGCCTCCCCACCCTCCCAGGGAGGAATAAACTCCACAGCAGCAGAATAGAGCTAATTTAGCCACTGGTATCACCCCAGGAATGGGGCTCTGAGGAACATCCCAGTGTGGTGGAGCCCTGGAGAGCTGTGGATTGTACCTGTCCCAGCCATCCCTCCTGCCCAAGCCATGCAGAAACTTTGACACAGTGACGGGGGTTTTAATCCCCAGGGATTTGCTGGGACACAGGAAGCACTGGAATAGCTCCTGTGGAGAAGGGGATTATTTCCCAAAGCTCTCCTGCCCTTCAGTTCAGTTTTCCTTAAAGAAACCTTTCAGTTTTGGAAGTTTCTGATCCCTCTCTAAGGTGACACAGTTGGCTCCCCCCTCACTGCCTGCCTGGGCAGTATTTATCTAATTGGGAAAATACTGGTGATGATTATGGCACCAAAATCCATCTGTGATAATTACTGACCTTCTACCACTCTTGGAATTAAAGTTTTATGCTTTATTTTCTTCTAAATCAAGTAATTGATCCTCACATGAACTGGAATTATCCCAAACACACAGACTAATTGAATAGTTAACTGAGTGCTCAATAAACTCCACGCCTCAGGATCACACCCCTTAAACTGCTTAATTAGATTTTGCACGAGGAGCTGGAAATGGAGCTGCTTGGTTTCACTTCCCATCTCACTTCCCCCTCCAAGTGACAAACCGACCAAGGGCTGAGCAGATTTCTTGACATTTTTCACAAAATGGAGCTGCTGGAACAGCTGGAAGGGTCTGACATGTTTGTAAGTGCTCATCCACCAGCTTTCCTGCAGGCAGAGTCTCCCCTGAGCCCAGACTTAGGGACACCCAGCCCAGCAAAGCACTGAAACCACTGCTCAGCCCGGCTTAAGCTGTTCCAAGAGCTCTGCTGAGTCCCAGCTTCCCACATTTGCACCCTCAGGGATTGCAGGGGGTTTGTTTCACAGAATCCCAGGCTGGTTTGGGTTGGGAAGCACCTTAAAGCCCATCCAGTCCCACCCCAAGGACTTCAAGGTGCCTTCCTACCCAAACTAGTCTGTGATTCCAAGGAAAATAATGCCGGGGATGGGCTGCAAGAGGTCCCCTCGTCCAGCCCCCTAAAGCAGCTGCAGCCAGAGGTGAGTCTGTCCCCAGCCAGGCTGTCCCAACCCACTTCTTGGAGCCCAAGGCTCTGGGCACTCTGCTCCTCTTTCCTCCATCCCATACTCCAGCAGAGCAGAGAGTCCTGAGAACGCATGGAACGGTTTAAAACAGAGCCTTCCAAAAAAAGCAACACACAGGAAGGGGCACTAAATCACCCCCCGAGTTTGTTCCAGTGTCGTTTACCCAGTGGGTGGGTTATTTCCAGGGAAAGCTTCCAACAGTCAGGCCCTGCAACCACTTAAAACTTTATATTGGCAAAGGCAATCGACCTGGCAGCCCTGAGCCCCAGGTATTTAACAGCATTAACCACCCCATTATCCACTCCCTCACTTAGCACGGTTGCCGGGGTATCCACCTTTATTGTGCTTGTGCTTCCAGCTCCATTAAGTGCTGCAGGAATCGCTGTGTCTGAGACGATGGAAAATGCCAGGCTCTGAGGGCAGAGGCAAAAGGAACCTGGATTATATTTAACTCACTTACAGATTTGTCATTTAAGCTCCTGAGGCCATTAATCTGCAGCCCTGATATGCCCATCATGTTAATTTTGGGTTCATTTAAGCTCCGTGGACACAAAAGAAGCGATTCCCAGCCTCTCCTTCCCGCTGTCACACGGATGCACAGCAGAGCCGGGGCTGGAAGGATGAGAGAGCAGCACCTCTCAACTCTGCTGCAATTTAACAGGGGGATAATTAAACTCACTCTCGTGGCATTTACTGGCTCCACGTGACACAGAATAAACTCTGAAAGGAGCTTTGCTTTTGAACAAAATAATTGTGAAAGCTTCAAATGGGCTCTGAGAGCAGAACAGCCACGGCTGAGCTGATCCCTCCCACGGCACCCACGGGGATGGGGCAGCCACAGCTTCTCTGGGCAACCTGGGACAGCCCCTCCCCACCCTTCCAGCCAGGAATTCCTTCCCAAGATCCCACCTAAATCTCCCCTTTTCCACCTTAAAGCCATTCCCTGTGTCCTGTCCCTCCATCCCTTGTCCCCAGTCCCTCTCCAGCTCTCCTGGAGCCCCTTTAGGCCCTGCAAGGGGCTCTCAGCTCTCCCTGGATCCTTCCCTTCCCCAG